TCTTCTCCTTCAAATATTCCGAGTAGTTCACAACAAAGTGAGGCCACTGAGTTGGATAAAATATTGGCTAATCTTTCTGCAAACCCTGGACATAGACATCGAATGCTTGATTATCCACCTAATTATCGTGAAGCAATTCGTAGACACTATTTCCAAAATGATCCTTGTCAACCTAGAGACCACATCATGCCAAGAAAAGTTAGCGACAAAAAATGTTTTATCACCAGTTGGTTTGATAAGTTTAAGTGATTGGAGTATAGTATATCAAAAGATGTTGCATTTTGCCGTTATTGCTATCTTTTCAAATGTGATTTCGATCAAATGGGTAGTACTGGAAGTGATGTCTTCACTAAGAAAGGGTTTACAAATTGGAAGAAAGGACCTGAAAAATTTCGAGTCCATGAGGGAAGTGTTGGAAGTCTTCATAATAAAGTTGTACAACAGTTGTGCAACAAACTAGAGATTTGATGACACAAAAATAACACATTGAAACAATTGTGATTAAGCAAACCGCTGAAGCTTGCATTAATTATCGTACTTTATTGAGTGCCTCACTTACGAGCACAAAATGGTTGTTGGGACAAGGTTTGCCTTTTCGTGGCCATGATGAATCGTTGAAATCAAGCAATAGGGGTAATTATTTGGAGCTTTTGCAATTTCTTTCCAACATAATGAGCAAGTTAGGAAGGTTGTGTTTGAGAATGCTCCCAAGAATCTTAAGTATACTTCTTCCGATATTCAAAAAGATATTGTCTGTGCTTGTGCCATTGAAACTATTGATGCAATCACTAAAGAAATAAAAGGTACATTTTTTTTTTCTCTTTTGGTTGATGGATCAAATGATGCTTCAACTAAAGAGCAAATGACGATGGTTTTGCGTTATGGGAACAACAAAGGAGAAGCAATTGAAAAGTTTTTGGGTGTGCAACATGTCTCCTCTACAACTAGTAGCTCGCTTGAAGAGGCTATTGAGAGATTCTTTTCTACAACAAATTTAAGTATGTCCAAGTTATGGGAATAAGGCTATGATGGAGCTGGTAATATGAAAAGTGAGCTAAATGGCCTTAAAATAAAGATTTTGAACAAGTATCCTCAAGCATTTTATGTTCATTGTTTTGCACACTACCTTCAACTAACTCTTGTAGCCATTGTAAAGGGAATTGAGGGTGTCGCCATTTTCTTCAACAATACTAGTATTTTGGTTAATATTATTGGATCATCGTGTAAGCGTCGTGATGCATTTAGAGAGAAACAACTAGAACAAATTAAGAAAGCTTTTGATATTGGTGATCTTGAAACGGGTAAAGGTTTAAATCAAGAAAGTAGTCTCATGCGTCCTTGTGATACACGTTGGAACTCACATTATGGTACTATAGTTAGTATTATTGTCATGTTTAAAGCCGTGGTGGAGGTGCTTGAATGAATTAAAGATGATACCAACCAAGACAATTTCGGTGAAGCAAGTAAGTTATTCCATGACATACAAACTTTTGATTTTGTGTTTCACCTTTTTTTTTATGAGACTCATATTGGGAATTACAAATAAGTTATCACAAGCATTACAAAAGAAAGATCAAGATATTGTGAATGCGATGACGTTAGTGGAAGTATGCAAGCAAATACTACAATCTTTGCGAGATGATGATTTTGGGGACTTACTTGATAATGTACAAAAGTTTTGTGAAGAGCATGATATTGTCATTCCTAACATTGAGGATTTGCATTTCGTACCCGAAAAATCAAGGCATAAAGCTCCAAGACTCACAAACTTCCATTACTATAATGTGGACTTCTATTTTTAAGTCCTTGATGCGCAATTAAAGGAATTGAATGATTGCTTCAATGAGGTAAACACCGAGTTGCTTCTTTGTATAACATGTTTGAGTCAGATGAATAATTTTGCATCTTTTGACAAGGCAAAAATTGTTCGTCTAGCCCAACTTTATCCTCAAGATTTTGATCATATGGACCTCATGAATCGTCCAATTCAACTTGACAATTACATTCACGATATGAAGATGCATAGTGAGTTTTCATCATTGAGAGGAATTGGTGATCTTGTAAAGGAGTTGGTGAAGACCGGGAGGTGTGCAAGCTATATGTTAGTGTATAAGCTTCTTACATTGGCTTTAATGTTACCGGTTGCAACCGTTTCGGTGGAGAGAGCTTTTTCTGCTATGAAGATTGTGAAAACACTATTGTGTAACAAAATGGGAGATCAATGGTTGAGTGATAGCATACTTGTTTACATAGAGAGAGATGTATGTTGGAATATATTAGTATTTTAGGTATTATTTTGCAAGTTTTCTTATAAGTTTAGTTTGGGCCTAGCCTGTTAGCATTAGGGTTAGGGTTAGTTTATTATAAATAAAATGCTTTGTTATTCATCAGAAATCAAGTCATTCACAATGTAGCTCTTAGGGTTTTGTAGCCGTTCCGGCATTTCCGTTAGTTTAATAATATTCTTATTATTTTAGTCTCGTTCGTTGCGCACTCTGATATTCAACTTGGTATCAGAGCAGGTTTGATCCTTCGGGATTTAATCTGCCTTTGATTCGTATCAGTTTGTTTGTCGGTCTTGTTCGCTGTTTAGATTGTCGTTGGTTTAGTATGAAAAAACAAAAAAAATGTCGTAGTCTGAACTCACTTGTCATCTCTGCAATTTTCATCATCCAACCTGCATCACCGCCGTACGTGACCTAACATCATTGCACCCAATCACCATCCACCCATGTTACCGCTGCAATCAGGAACCCATAACCCAACCCGCATGGCCTGCACCGCTCGAATTGTGACCCGCATCAGATTCGCCACACCTGTTCAGTTATACCAGACTCACATCACACCATCTTGAAGTCGTACCGCTGCAACTCAGATTCATCCCCCACTACACACCCGTCTGCCCGCTGCTCTCACCCACATCAGACCTGCTACGCACCACCACCATCCTCACGATTTGCGTCTCTTGCTGTTGCAACCAAACTACCACCGCTGCTGCCTGTTTCTTTTGTTGTTGCTAATTTTTCTTGCCACCAAGTTGCATCTGATTAGTTTGTTGATCTGACTATTAGTATGGTATTTTTTTGTTTGATTAGTTTGGGACCATGAAGTAAATGAATAGAAAATAAGGAGCAAGGAAATGATAAAAAAAAAGGCAAAAAGAGAAAGGAAAGAAAAAAAAATTGTTTGCTGTTGCTTTAGGCCCACACGGGCAAAATGTTTAAGTTTATTTTTAGGTCCACACGAGTTGTTGGCCTGTTTGGAATTGTTTTGTGACCGTTATTCGAGTGCTTGGATTGTAACCAATTGAGTGATAGTATTTGTATTTGTTTGTTCGTTGCTACAATTGAGATATGAAAATCTCTTCCGTTTAGTGACGGGTTCTTTCCATACTCTCAACTCTAGTCAGTCGGAACCAGAATCAGTTTGCCAGCAAGAATAAAGAATCAAGTCAAGTTTGCCAGTTTGGCAGTGAAGTCAAGAATCAAGTCAAGTTCGCTAGTCAAGTCAAGTCAAGTCAAGTCCAGTCAAGTTTGCATGCCTGCCAGTCCGCCTAACGGAGCTAGTTCGCATCTGCTTATTTGCAAACCCATGTCGTATACCGCCATGAGTTTGACGGGGGGTGTTGGAATATATTAGTATTTTAGGTATTATTTTGCAAGTTTTCTTATAAGTTTAGTTTGGGCCTAGCCTGTTAGCATTAGGGTTAGGGTTAGTTTATTATAAATAGAGTGTTTTGTTATTCATCAGAAATCAAGTCATTCACAATGTAGCTCTTAGGGTTTTGTAGCCGTTCCGGCATTTCCGTTAGTTTAATAATATTCCTATTATTTTAGTCTTGTTCGTTGTGCACTCTGATATTCAACTATGTATTTGCTTTTATTGATAATGAGCCTATTATGCGACGTTTTCATGATATGAAATATCGCTGGCAACAATTGTAATTTGTTTGTACTGATAAATTATGGAAGACATTACTATATAAAAGGATTTAGTTGTTGCTATTCTTTTGAACCTTGCAATCTTTTAACTTCGCCTCTCCTCCCGTCAATTCCTGACTTTGCTACTGACTACGATTGGTTTGATCATTTTCTAAGGTACGTAGGCAGTCTAATTCTAAGGTTAGGGGCAACCATAAAATAAAATGAAAAGGATACTACCCTATTGAACTATTGATTTATTTTTTACCATGTCTTGAAAGTGAGGCATAATAGTTGAACAGGTACGTTCTTGTGTCACGTGTTGATTTTGAACGTGTCTTGGGATTTGAGCTTGACTTTGGGTCTTGACATCACTCATCATATTTCTTTTGCATTTGACATCACTCATATGACAATAGACCCTGAGTGTTTGACAAATTTCCTCATTGCAAAATTTTTATGCGCTGTGCTCATAGTTTATGTATAAATTAAACTTGATAGTCAGCTGGATATATTATTTATGTCGTCTGCTTATAATTTCATAACACATGCTGTGTCAGTTGGTGTTTCTCTTGTGTGGAATGTCACGGTGGCTACGAGGAGAGATTTTTTAGGGTAACCGGCACATGAGTTCGTCACATGTTACTTTACAAATAGTGAGATATGTGTATTAAAAAGTTAATAACTTAAAAAATAAAATTTCCTACCACTTACATAAAAACATGTGATGTACCACCGATGTTTCCGTCACAATGAAAAATTTCTCGGCTACGAGGACTCTTCTTGAACTAACTGTAATTAGTAAAAACTCGTGTGCTGCCATCTCTAGCAACATATACAATGAATGAATGGCCTTAGAACACATGCTTTCGTCAAGATTGGGATTCAACAAGGCAGACTGTCTGTGCTCGAAATTTTGGCTCCAGAATTAATGGTCTCTCCTGGTCGGTTAGAGATGGTCAGAAACTTGGTGGAGAGCTTACTCTTCATCCAGCAAGTCTCAAGAAGAAAACATATGGCTGATGTGTGTGTGTAAATATGTATGTATAATACTTCATGATCCGTATCTGGAATTTCGTATTTATAAAGCAAGTCTTACAATTTTTATACCAAAAAAGAAAAAAACCTAGAAAAGATAAAAATAAATTGGCACAAAAAAGCATACAACGGTGTAAATTCTATCTCTATAGCATAGTAGAAACATACCACACAAACTCAATCTAACTATACAAAATAGTTAATAACGTTTGACGATTGCAGCATAAAGCTTCTTCACAATGCGATTTTGGAACCGAGAAAATGCATTGCTCCATGGCACATTAGACAACAATGAACCAAGAACAATCCAAAACCCGAATGCAAATCCAAGCCCCAAGCTCAGATAGAACCCACCGTCTTCAAGTAAATGACCTTCTCCTTGTTTCTCATCAACTACCAGTGGCATGGCCTCATTTGTAATGCAACGCTCTTCTAATGGAGGTCCACAAAGTTTATTGCCAGCATAAGTGGACAGATCAAAGCTCTGAAGCTGAGTGCTTTTTGGAATTTGCCCTATCAGATTGTTATAGGACAAATTCAGATAATTAAGAAATGTCAAATTCGAGATGCTTGGAGAAATTTCTCCAGAAAGTTGGTTCACGGACAAATCAAGTGACTCTAACATTGCCATATCACCGATTTTGGAAGGTATCCTTCCGGTTAGAAGATTATCCGATAAATTCAACGTTTGTAAGCGAATGAGGCTGGTCAGCTCTTCAGGGATTTCTCCAGATAACATGTTGCTTGAAAGGTCCAAACTAGCTACCAAACCAAGCATTGTGTTATATTTCACCTCTTTGCCTTTGGTCACAAAAACTGCACTCTCTATGTAGGTGGTCTCGTCATAATAAACCATACCAGCTATCGCAACACCATACCCAGCATCATACTCACTGAAAACTTCAAAACTGGTACTTCTTGGAAAGGTAATGGCCATGGATGACAAATTTTGGAAACATCTTGGTATCATTCCCGAGAGATTGTTATACCCAAGGTCCAAGATTTGGAGATTCATGAGACTACAGAGTTCATCAGGAATGGCGCCATGGAACTTATTTGAACGAAGACTAAGAACTACTAAGCTTTGGCCAAACCATATTGGAATGCTTCCAACAAACTTGTTTCCACCAAGGTCCAAAAGTAACAACTGCTCACAATTTTGTAGGGAGACGGGTAATTCTCCAGATAAGTTATTATTGCGCAAGTGCAATGATCGAAGGGAAAGTAAGTCTCCAATAGAGCTTGGAATTTTTCCCGTCAAATTGTTGTCTTCTAAATTCAAAGATGTCAAGTTTTGCCAGTGTAACCAACAATCAGGAATTTCTCCAGTGAGGAGATTGTTGCCAACATGAAGAACTTGAAGGGTTTTAGGTACATCACTCCTATCACAAAAGAAATGAGAGAGAGTTCCCGAAAATGATGAATTGGAAAGATCTAATGCAGACACTATGGAAGACACAAGAGGCAATGAACCATTGAGCTGGTTAAACCCTAACCGAATCGCGATTTTTGAAAACAAAGAATTGGAAGGCTTTTGTTTTGGCCACTTGGCAGAAACTATGTTTGGAACCTCGCCAAACAACTGATTACATGAGAGATCTACAAAGGTCACTGCATTAAGCGAAAAAATGTTCCAAAACCAAGTTGGAATGGTACCTGAAATTCCTGTATTGGACATGTTAAGAGAAATCAAATGTTTTTGACTCTTAAGCCATGCAGGCAACTCTGATGGGTCCAGACGCCAAAAACTTAAAGTCAACATAGAAAGTTGAAAAGGAGGAACCCAGTTTGGGCTGGTTTTAAGAGTCAAGGAGTTGTTATTTGCAACAAAGTTAATCAACCTTGTAAGATTTGTAAAATGAACTTCAGAGACAATACCCTCGAATAACATGCTAAAAATGTACAACTCCTCTAAGAGTGATAGGTTGCCCAAGGACACTGGAATGGAACCTGATATTGGATTAAGTGAAAGATCAAGATAGCGTAAATTTTTAAGACTTCCTAGCTTATCAGATAAATGACCTGAAAAAGAATTATTCGAAAGATCTAAAAGATTTATTTGACCAGAACTACACCGAGACAAACTTTCAAAGATTTCTGATACCCTCCCCCTAAAATTGTTGAACCATAGATCAACAAAAGTCAACTTACAAAGATTTCCCAATGAGTTTGGGATTTCCCCTTCAAGCTGATTCGAACCTAATATAAGATCAACAAGGGCTGTCAAGTTTCCAAGGGAACTCAAAATTTCACCATGCAAAGCATTGCCAGAAAGGTCGAGGGACTCAAGATGGCTCATACGGTACAACCATGTAGGTATGGTAGAGTTGAAATAGTTAAAGTACAGATCAAGAACTTTAAGACTTGTCAAGTTCACAACACCAGTTGGTATGTGATAAAGTTCGCAGCCATGCAAATGTAACTCGACCAGCAGAGAAGGGAGTGTGTTTGCTTGTAACCAATGAGATACTTTGGAAAGATTTACATAACTCATGTCAAGATGTTTCAACATAGAAAGACCAGAGAGCCATTTGAGATTCTCGACCATCAACAAGTTTTCAGAAAGGTCCAGATAACGTAGACTTGAAAGATTTCCCAACTGATGAGGAATGGTTCCGTTGAACCCTGCATGTGAGAGGTTAAGATATCTTAAACCTTTAAGAGAACCTAGAAAGCTAGGAATTTGTAGTCCTTCAAAATTATTGTAGCTTAAGTCCAAGTAGCTGAGTTGCTTTAAATTGAGCAGAGAAGGATTTACCTTACCACCCAAACCATGTTTCTCACCAGTCACTTGATTGTAATTACCAGCAAGGTGGAGTTCATGGACATGACCCGTTGAATTACTGCAGGCAACACCGGTCCAGTTGCAACAATCGCCTTCACCAACCCAAGAGGAAAGCATATTTAAAGAATCATTAAGATCTTTCTTGAACATAAGAAGTGTTTGTCTCTCATTTTCTTTACAAGGAACATTCAGGTTTCCTTTGCATAAGCTAACTGTAATAGACGCAATGCATAGAAACCTGACTAGTGAAACAACTCTCATGACTCTATCCATAGATATCAAGTACGGATGTGAGTAATCAGTAATTTAGAGTGCTATATATACACACATTAGTGAGTGTATAGGTCCACCCTTGGGCCTACTCTTTATATTTCCTCACAAACCACTCTTGTGGAATCAAAAGGATTATAATTATACTTTTCTTTGTATTACAAGCGAGAATGTTATTCTAACCTACACTATAGGGAATAGGGAGAGTTTGAATCTGAGACACAATGGGTCAATGAAGAAGACTATCAACCAGAGCAATCTACCACTTGTATATATAATGATATATCTCACGAGGCATAATATTCTACAACTTTTTTTTTTTCTGTCTTAAGATGTTTTCTTTTACAATGAAAAATATAATTGGGGTTTTACTCGATCTACTTTGAGATTTTATGGAAATTTATTAGTCAATCAAGAGAAGTAAGACAAAAGGATGGTCCATCCCCAAAACTAATTCCAGCTAGGAAATGATGGTTCATCCCCAAACAAAAGTCGTGGTTGAAATCAGGCACATAGCAATAATTGTTCTACTTGAGTGGGCTAAGAAACCAAACATCAATATCTTTCTCTTTATTGATATGGTTAAGATATTTATTTTCATTTTTATATTATCAACTACTGAAAATGACAGAAAAGAACAGTTACATAAACATAATACGGCCATCTATAACTATCCAAATTTTTAAACTAAATTTGCAAAGCAAATTATGTCTCACCAATAGTTAATGAACACATTAATCAATACTTAAGAAATAATCAAATTATCACAACCACATTATTTAGATTAAAATATTTAATTTAAAATTTTAGTCTCCCTAAATCCAAACCACAAGAAATGAGAGAATAAGGTACATCAAAGTTCTTGTGTTTCACCTTGTTTGCAAATTTGCAAGGCACACCCAGATTTCCTTTACATAGCAAATGGTAATGCTATCGACGCTTAGTAACCTGAGAAATACAACAACCCTGATAAGGTTCTCTCAAATACGCGTTTTGCGTGATGAATGAGAGTTCTAATATTCTAAACCAATTTTGTGTGTAGCCTTTCTGTAGCCTCTATCATTGGTTGACACACATTAAGTTTATGACAACAGAGTTAAGAAGGATTAAGCTTATAGACACGTGTCAATCAATGATAGAAGTCACAAGGAGACCACACAAAATGAGTGCATAAGATTCCAACTAAATGAATGAGTAGTCATCTAGAAGACAAATAAAATTCAGAACAGAAAGACTTCTTCTTTGACGGCCAAGCAATGGGTCACATAAGTGTCGCTTTTTCTCAATTTATCCCCTTCAATGTTAGACAATGTCCTTCACTAGTATCAGTCATTCAAGAAGGGCCGGGGAAGAAAAATGAACCAGAACGCATTAATCAGTAGGACTACCGACTAGGAAGTGCAAAGGCGACTTTCTTAACCCAACATACGAGTTCATCATTCATCCCAAAGGAAGAGTTTGAGACTTTTTTAAGTCCAGCCAGGGATCGGGTATATAACAAGAACTACCTATAATATTCAATGGGTTCTTAAACTAACTAAAACTTGTTGGAGTCCATAACAATTGCTGGAGTTTTCTTTGGGATAAACTCCAGCAACTTAAGAATTAAAGCATGCTATGTGCCTCGACTCAAAGTGACACATAAAAATTTTCCTACAATGGGTTTTGTTTTCGGTGGAGAACAATCTAAGAATTAAAGCATGTTATGTGTATATGCATCATAAGAACTAGCGAGAGTACTTAGATTTACGTTATTGGTTTGAAATATAATGCGCTGTGTATAAGTTAGCCATTGACCATGCTCATTTTTTTCGCGAGTCAAGTGGATTTGAGGAGTTGGGTACCATGCATTTGACTCAACCTCTGTATTATACCCTATTTTGATTTAAGTTAAAACTGTTAAGTTGGATATTCAAACTCTTTTTTTCTCCTTTGTATTGCCGATGTGAGATATTTCAACAATGATCTCTCTCTGGCTGTGAGATTGACCTGCTCCTCTTATGGTAGTGTAAGATAAAGCGTCGCCCTATACTTGTGACCATTTGGCAACCGGAAAAGTTACAAATTTACAAAGGCTAAAAACTGCTAAGACCACAAGTTGAAAATTATTAATATTTAGGATTATTTTATTGTTTGGGTTTTAGGCCCATCCCGTTAGGATTAGATTTTCGTTTAGATATTAAAGTTTAGTTTATTATAAATAAGATGCTTGTTATTCACTTGTGAACAAGTTAGTCACAACACAGTATAATCCATTTGAGTTATGTAGCCGTCTCGGTAAATTTGTAGAGTTCTCTTCCATTTAGTTAATTGAATAATTTGTTTGCTCATTCGTCTATGTTATACCTAACCTCATTTTCATCTGCAGATAGTCCAATTTCTCCACTGTTACTATGTTCACGAACCAACCTGTTTTTCTTCAGACCAGACTTTGACAGACAGGCACATTCGTTTTCAGTCCCGAGTCCTTTGCCAATCCGTTCACCAGTGTCCGTGTCCCCGTTAGTGGAATAATAGAATCTTGATCTCCACTGTGGAAAACATGTAAGATATACTTTTAAGTACAATTTATAATAGACTAAAATTAGCAAAGATGGCAAGAGCTTTGATTTGTACAGCGGTGAGACTCACCACCTGTAAATCAAAACCTGAATTCAGACAAGTTCAACCAAAACTGGAAGCATTGTTTCCTGGTTTTGCATGTCATACTTGAGGACACGTCCTCTGCAAAAGAGGATAATCAAAGTTGGAAGCACAGAAAACAAAAATGACTTGCTGCACAAGGAACACTTCTTCAATCTTTGAATAGTTCGGAATATAATTGGAATTTTTTTTTCATGTCTTGATGATCTTCGGAATCTACTACATTTGGGTGCATTAGTAATTCAAATGAGATGCGATGATTACTTGCTGCAAGCCTGCAAGTTGTCCAATTTGTGACTCGAGCATGAAGGGCCTCCTCTAAATCTGGTAGGTTTATGTAACTGTCTCATCTTCGATACAGACATGAATCTTCGCTGTTTATCGCTGCAGATGTGATCAGTGAGTTGAATGAGCAGTCAGCTAGAAGACAAATTATATATAAGAGAGAGAAGAGGTCCAAATCAGCGAGTTGAATGAGTAGTCAGCTAGAAGACAAATTATATATCAGAGAAAGAAGAGGTCCAAACTGGAGTCTACATATTCTCAACAACAGTTAAGAACTACTTGTGCCTTGAAAATAAATTTCACAACAGAATGACTTCTTCTTTGACGGCCTAGCAATGGGTCACGTAAGTGTCGCTTTTTCTCAATTTATCCCCTTCAATGGTAGACAGTGTCCTTCACTAAGTTATCAGTCATTCAAGAGGGAAAATAAATTTCACAACAGAATGACTTCTTCTTTGACGGCCTAGCAATGGGTCACGTAAGTGTCGCTTTTTCTCAATCTATCCCCTTCAATGGTAGACAGTGTCCTTCACTAAGTTATCAGTCATTCAAGAGGGGCCGGGGAAGAAAAATGAACAAGAAGGCATTAATCAGTAGGACAGTAGGACTACCAACTAGGAAGTACAGAGAAATTTTTAGTTGTGTTGGGAACACGGATGGTACACCACGTGTCTTCATGCAAGTGGTGGAAAATTTTAATTTTTAAGTTATTAACCTTTTAATACACATAACCCACCATTTCTATAGGTACTATTTGGTACATGGGACGAGACGGAACGGAGTGGGACTAGGCGTTCCGTCCCACGTTTGGTGCGCCTAAAATGGGTGGAACGCGTTGTTCCACGGGATGAATGTTGGATGAATTTTTGTTCCGCCTCACCCCCTTGGAACGACTTGTTTCACATCCATGGAACACAAAATTATAACCTCTCCGTCTCCTTCTTCTTCCTCCTTGTTTCCATCCGAGGGAATCTTTGCTCCCTCTCCGTTCCGTCTTGTCCCGTCCCGTCTGCATACCAAACGATACCTAAGGTACCGTTTGGTACGTGAGCCGGGACCGAACGAAGTGGGACAAGGCGTTCCGTCCCACGTTTGGTGCACCTAAAACGGGTGGAACGCGCTATTCCACTGGACGAGTTTTGAGTGAATTTTCGTTCTGCCTCACCCCCCTGGAATGACTCGTTCCACGTCCGTGAAACACAAAATTATAACAAACGATACCTAAAGGTCTCAAAACTCCCCTAGAACGACTCATACCAAACGATACCTAAAGGTCTCAAAACTCCAACAAATCTTTCCACCGCATCTCATTGGTTACAAGCAAACACACTCCCTTCTCTACTGGTCGAGTTACATTTGGATGGCTGCAAACTCTATCACATACCAAGTGGTGTTGCGAACTTGACAGGTCTTAAAGTTCTTGATCTGTACTTTAACTATTTCAACTCTACCATACCTACCTGGTTGTACAGTTTGAGCCATCTTGAGTCCCTCGATCTTTCTGGTAATGCTTTCCATGGTCTTGACATCGCTTGTTGATCTTAAATTAGGTTGGAATCAGCTTGAAGGGGAAATCCCAAACTCATTTGGAACTCTTTGTAAGTTGACTTTTGTTGATCTATGGTGGAACAATTTTAGGGGGAGGGTATCAGAAATCTTTGAAAGTTTGTCTGAGTGTATTTCTGGTCAAATAAATCTTTTAGATCTTTCAGATAATTTTTTTTCATGTCATTTATCTGATAAGCTAGGAAGTCTTAAAAATTTACGCTACCTTGATCTTTCATTTAATTCAATATCAGGTTCCATTCCACTGTCCTTGGGCAATCTATCACGCTTAGAGTAGTTGTACATTTTTAGCACTCTATTGGAGGGAGATTTTACTAATCTTACAAGATTGATTAACCTTGCTGGAAATAACAACTCCTTGACTCTTAAAACCAGCCCAAACTGGGTTCCTCCTTTTCAACTCTCTATGTTGACTTTAAATTCTTGGCGTCTGGACCCATTAGAGTTGCCTGCATGGCTTAAGAGTAAAAAACATTTGATATCTTTTAACATGTCCAATATAGGAATTTCA